TCTGTGGGCCATCTTGGGCCGCCATGGGGCTCTCTGAGGGCCATCTTGGACCCGTGTTGTGCCGTTTTGGGGCTCTCTTGGACTGCTTGGAAGCCCTTTTGGATGGTTGTGGGGCGATTTGGGAGCCTCCCAGGCGGCTTCGGACGCCCGGAAGACCGCCGTCTTGGAGCGTCGGGAAGCCGAAAAGAGGAGAACCCCAAAATTCGCAAACAAGCAACAGAAAATCAATGATTTTTGCCTCGGGGGGCCTTCTTGGGACTGCTCTTGGAGGCCTCTTTGGGGCCGTCCTGGAGGCCTCTTGGGCCATCTTGAGGTCACGTCGGTCACTCTTGGCGCGCTCTTGTGCTGTCTTGGGGGTCTCTGGGACGTCTCCGATGACCCCCCTGATCGCCCTAAATGTGCTGGGAAGGCTTGGCAAAACGCCTTGCGAGGCCCGGTGGCCGCTTCGAGGCTCGTCCGGAGGGCCCCAAAGCCCCAGGTCCCGGGAATCCGTTTTTTCTTGGGGGGGAGGGTTTTCCCCCCGCCCGGGCTTATAAAAATATAGGAAGCGGAATGTGTATATATATATATATGTGTATACATATACACATACATATACATGTATATATATATATATATATATATATACATATGGCATGCGAACGCGGCAATCTCGCATTCAGCGCGCGCGAAGGTGTGCGGTTTCATACAGACGTGCGTAGCTTGCCTACAGCTCGAGTCGTAAGAAGCTCTCGTGACGTGTAGAGTATGCCATTTCACACCGAACGATGTGTTTGACAGCTTGGTAGCTGTTTGCAAATTTGTTCGGTCGCAGCTCTGATAGGAGACCGATCTCAGGCCTCTCGATACTCCAGACAGGCGCTCGTGATATCTTCCATTCGAACGGTTGCTTCTTAGCTGCTCCACGCCTCTCCAAGAGTGCAGCAAGTTTTTGGTCGCAGCTCTGGTCGCAGAACAATCTCCAACGTCTAGATACTTTAGACTGCCGTTCCTCAGCATTTCCTGTCGATTGGTGTACATCTGAGTCTCGTAGCTAGCCTACAGCTCGAATTAAACCGACAAAGCCAACATCACCTCTCAAAACACTTGGAGAATGCCCCAGGTGTGGTAGCAGACGGATCTCAGGCGTCTGGATGCTTTAAGACTAGCACGCCTGATCATGTCCTGTCGATCGGCGTGCATCTCAGCTCCGTGGCTCGGCTACAGCTCGACTGCAGTAGAGAAAACAAGCATTATATGACAGAACATTGCAGAGTAGGAGACCAAGCTCAGACGTTTCGATACTATTTGTAAGCGAATGTTCCTGATCATTCCCTGTTGAACAGTGTGCTTCCCAGCTCCGTAGCTTGCCTGCAGTTCGAAAGAAGTAGGTAAAACCAACATCGCCCCTAAAAAACCATGAAAGAGTTGACATAGTTTTGTTCGCCGCAGCTCTGGCAGCAGACAGTTCTCAGGCGTCTAGATCCTTTGGATTAGCGCTCTTAATGATTTCCTGTCGATAGGCGTGCATCTCAGCTCCATAGCTCGCCTGAAGCTCGAATTAAGCAGAGAAAACAAACCTTGATCTCTCAAAAATTGTAGGGCGGGAATCGGATGTTCAGTCGTAGCTCTGGTAGCAGACGAATCTCAGACGCCTCGATATCATAGGCGAATGTTCCTGAGCATTCCCTGTTGAACGGTGTGCTTCCCAGATCCGCAGCCTGCCTAAAAGTGCAAATAGTTGTTTGGTCGCAGCTCTGGTAGCAAACCGATGTCAGGCGTCTAGATACTTGGAACGAGCGCTTCTCATCATTTCATGTTGAGTTGGTGTGCCTGTCGGCTCTGTAGCTGATCTACAGCTCGAGTTAAGAAAACCGTCAGCACCTGCCAAGATGACACTCAACACCCGATCCCGCCACGATGCTTTTTGATAGTAGTTTCCACCCGATCGACCTAAAATCAAGATGGCGAGCGGGAATAATATCAAAGAAGTGGGGAACAAATCTTAGAGCTCAAACGAACTGTTGATTTTGAACAAAAATAATGTGCAACTGCCTAAAATAAGACAAAACGTCCGTCGAGTTTTTTTTCGAGCCAACTAGCCTGCCGGCGTTTTCGAACTACTCTTAAGCTTCGCCGCTTCGCTCTCCGGGAAGCTCTACGAGTCTTTGTTCTCCTGCGTGTGCCGTCTCGCAATTGTTGCCACAAGCGAAGCGGGTCCTGAGAGAAAAGGGCCCTGGACCCTGGGATTTCGCTTGGGACCCGCTCTTCATTGAGGGGCAACGATAAAGGGGAGACTGGCACAGGGGGGACAAATCGGCCTGGAATCGGCGGTACATCGCCGATAGATCGGAGATAGGTCACGGATTGTGAAGCCGCACGCTTCTGGGCAGGTTGGGGCTATCGGGCCCGTATGGGCGATCAATGTGCGGCTGGGGGGCGATGCATCCCTCCTATGCCTATGCCTATCCTCCCCTGTCGCTGCCCCTGGCTCATCCTGAACCGTTTTTGAACGGCCCTGCAGGGCGGGGAGCGCCCCGCACCAACGTGCGGAAACAGCAACAAAAACGCAGAGCACACTTTCTTCGGGCCCCCCTCCCTTCAAAACGGCCACACCGCCCCGCTTGAAAGCGCTCCCCCCCCCCTGGCGCGCGCGCCGATGCGAGCTTCCAGTGCTCCCCGCCACACGATCGACGATCGACCCCCCCCCCCTCCCCCGGCGCGACTCCCGCGGTCCAGACCCCCTGCCCGCCACGACACCCGCGCCTGACAGTTCCAGTGCCCTCCGCCACACGATCGCCCGCCCCCCCCGCACCCACTCGCTCGAGCAGCTCGGCACCTTTGGCGGCGCGCACGAGGGGGGGGGGGGCTTCTTAGAAGGAGGCTGCTTCTGAGAAGGCGCCGGCCATACATCTACAGACGAGGCCCGCGCCTCCTGAGGAGCAGGGCCGCTTCTAAGACGCCCTCCCCCCTCCCTCCCCGCCCCCTTGGCGCGCGGCTGATCCCGTGCACCCCGCCCCGCGCTCGCCCGCCTCCCCCGCGCGCGCTCGCTCGAGCAGCCGGGCACCTCCCGTCGGCGACACGGCCCCCGGGACGCGCGACTGCGCGCCTCGCGGCCGCCCCTCCCCCCTTCCCCAGCGCGGCGCGACGCGCGGTCCTCCGCGCGCCCTCGCGCCGCCCCCCCAGGGAGAAGGCCAGCTCGGCGGCCCCCGCCGCGCGGCGAGGAGGAGGAGTCTGCCCGGAAGCTCCGGGGAAGCTCTGGGCAGAACCGTGGGGGAGGAGGAGGAGGAGGAGGAGGAGGAGGAGGAGGAGGAGGAGGAGGAGGAGGAGGAGGAGGAGGAGGAGGAGGAGGAGGAGGAGGAGGAGGAGGAGGAGGAGGAGGAGGAGGAGGAGGAGGAGGAGGAGGGGAGGAGGACGAGGAGGAGGAGGAGGAGGAGGAGGAGGAGAGGAGGAGGAGGAGGAGGAGGAGGAGGAGGAGGAGGAGGAGGAGGAGGAGGAGGAGGAGGAGGAGGAGGAGGTGCGTGGCTGCCTTCGCGCCAATTGGAAGCGACCTGGCCAGCCCGACCCCGTCGCACCCTCGCCGCCCCACGGCGCTCGCCGCGGGAGCCGCGTGCAGCTCGAGGCCGGAGCGGCGCCGCCGGGGCAGCGGGAGGTCGCAGCAAGAGAAGGGGGAGGAGCGCGAGAGCACGAGCTCCAGGAGCCGTCAGGACGCCACCCTGCCCGCCCATCCTCCGCCTCCTCTCCTCCTCCTCTCCTCTCCTCACATCCTCCCCTCCTCCCCCTCCTCCTCCTCCTCCTCCTCCTCCTCCTCCTCCTCCTCCTCCTCCTCCTCCTCCATTCCTTTTCCTTATAGTTAACTCCTCCCCAAAATGTGGCTCTAGCCGTAGCGCCGCGCGCATTATTTTCAACAATTTGCAAGAGTCTAACGGATAGAGGGCGGTTCGTTTTCAAAATGTGGCTCTCGCCTTAGCGCCTCGCACATTCGTTTCAAACAGTTGCAAGAGCTTCATGGATTGAGGGCAGGTCGTTTTCAGAATGTGGCTCTCGCCTTAGCGCCTCGCATATTCTTTGAACAAAAAACATCCAAGGGCTTCATGTAGTCAGGGCGGGCCGTCTTCAAAATGTGGCGCTCGCCTTCGCGCCGCGCGCAATCGTTCGACAAACATGCAAATGTTTCACGGATTGAGGGCGGGCCGCTTTCAAACTGTGGCTCTCGCAATAGCGCCGCGCACATTCGTCGTAAAAGTTTCAGGAGGTTCACGGATTGAGGGCGGTTCCTTTTCAACATGCGGTTATCGCCTAAGCGTCGCGCGCTTTCGTTTGAACCAGTTGCAAGAGTTTCATTGGTTTCCTTGGTTCATGTACCAGAAATGTATTTCTTGAAACGACTCAGGATTGGCAGGGCGCAACAGTTACGTTGATTCGCAGTGTTGAGGTCCCAAGAATGGCGTCCTGAAACGATTCAAGATCGCCAAGGCGTACACGTCAGGTTAAACCATGGCGTTGAAGTCCTGATAACGGTGTTTTAGCCCGCTTCTAATTGGTCACACGGTTGTCCCCCAACGGGGCCATTCTCTGTGGAAATGACCCCTTGTAAGGGGCCTTTGAAGAGGGATCTTGGAGGGAGGGTATATTTCAACATCGTTGATGAGCCTTGGGTTTACACTGGTCCTCCTCCTCCTCCGCTACATACTCCATCTCCTTCAACTCTTTCTCCTTGCCACATCCTCCACCTCCACCTCCTCCCCCTCCCGTTCCTCCCTGTTCTTCGCTGAGCCCTTAGAATATAGGCTTCCCAAGTTGGGTCCGAGTAGATGGGGTCTGAGGATCGCGCCGCATCGACGATGCATCGGCGCCGTCGGCGTGGCAAAAATCGGGCTCCACATCGAGCCGCATCGGCGGTGCTTCGGCGATGTGTCGCGATCCTCCGACACCATCTACTCGGACCCCATTGCAGAGGCCATGACAAAATGGAGTGTGTCGATTCTTGCAGCGACCGGGAGCTGGAGCGGCAAGGTCGCCTCGGGCATGCTGCCGATGCTGGCGCCCAAGTCACAGCCGTTTCCGTCCTTGCGCGTGCACCCTCTGGGACCATACGTGGTAACACTACCTGCCTCTCATCATCAGTAACCAAGCACAGACACGACAGTGTGCTCGGCATCTCCTTCGAGAAAGCATACTCGGAGAGGGGATAGCCGCACAACTGCAAAACAAGAGCGGCCAGGCTTATTGTCGTTATCTGTTGCTCGAATCTCTCTGTTCCCACTCACAGTAACTCACCAAAATCTTCTGGCACGCGATTGCCTCCTTCTCCTCCTGCTGCCCGTCTCCCTTTCCCCCGTGCCCCCCCCCAATCCACTCGGAGGTCTTCCCCAAGCAGTGCCTCATAGCCTTCTCCCAGTGCCCGCGTGAGAACCTGGGTCGTCTCCGCCCGATGCCTCTGGAGACGCTGTAAGTGTGAAACAAAAACGTAGGAGAGGAGGAGGGAGGAGGAGGAGGAGGAGGAGGAGGAGGAGGAGGAGGAGGAGGAGGAGGGCTGGGAGAAGGGAGGCTCGGAAGAGGGAGGCCTACAGCGCACCGTCGCGCGGGGCATGCGCGCGCGCGGACGGGGGAGGGCAACGGGGGGGGGATCGAAACAGGAAGAGGCGGCCACGAAATCCTCGGGGTCGGTCAAGAGGGGGGCGGACTGGGGTGGCGCAAAGCATGGCCGGCGGCGTGTGCGCGGCCCAGGGGGGGGGGGGGCAGGGAGGCAATGAAAGAAGATCGCAGGCCTAGAGGTTGACACCAACACCAAGATCGGCGGTGTGCCTCCACCGAGGGAAGACGATCCCGATCCCGGTTATGATGGTGATATTCTGGCTTCCAAGGTGACCGAAATGTTACCACCAGCACCGACACCAGGGTCAACCGTCTCATCAACATAATGGCAAACACGATGCTCAAAAAGCAGAAACCAATCACGTCAACTCTCATGTGAAAACCCTCTGCGCGTGGCCGAGAAGAAACAGTCAACCCGGATCATGAGGATGCGCGGTGAATAAGCGTCGGGGGGGGCGTCACTCCCCCCGACAGCCCCACATCAACCCCCCTCGCGGGCAGCCACCGCTCGCCCAAGGCGTTCCGACCCCCGTCGCGGCGCAACGACGAGGCGAGGTTGACCCCCGCTGGGGGGTTCCCCCCCGCGCTCATTACGAGACACACGAGGAGGAGGAGAAGGAGGAGGAGGAGGAGGAGGAGGAGGAGGAGGAGGCGGAGGCGGAGGAGGCGGAGGAGGGAGGAGGAGGAGGAGGAGGAGGAAGGAGGAGGAGGGACGCAGGGAAAAGGGGACAGGAGGAGGAGGAGGAGGAGGAGGAGGAGGAGGAGGAGGAGGAGGAGGAGGAGGAGGAGGAATGAGGAGGACGTGTGAGGAAAAAGAGGTAGCACGAGGAGGAGGAGGAGGAGGAGAGAGGAGGAGGAGGGGAGGAGGAGGAGGAGGAGGAGGGGGAGGAGGAGGAGGAGGAGGAGGAGGAGGAGGAGGAGGAGGAGGAGGGAGGAGGGGAGGAGGAGGAGGAGGAGGAGGAGGAGGAGGAGGAGGAGGAGGGGGGGGGGACGGGAGGAGGAAACCTGCCAATCCTTCCTATGCAGGTTGACTGCAAGGCGGAGGGCCCCTGGCGGCAGGGCGAGCTGCGGCGCCCTCGGCGGGCGGGCGCCGGCGGGGTCCCCGCTGCAGTCCGGCCCGATGGACAGCAGGCCCGGGCCGTCCGCGGCGGCGGCGCGCGCCGCTCCTCGGACGCCACGCGCGGGCAGGGCGGGCATGCCTTTTTTTGACATCCTCGTCCACTCCTCCTCCACTTCCTCCTCCTCCACTTCCTCCTCCACTTCCTCCTCCTCCACTTCCTCCTCCTCCACTTCCTCCTCCTCCACTTCCTCCTCCTCCTCCTCCACTTCCTCCTCCGCCTCCTCCACAGTTCCTCCTCCCGAGGCCCTCTTCCTCCTCAGCCCCTCCGTTTCTTGCTCCTGATAGATCACTCCTCCCTCTCGCTCCCAGAAGCCTGTCGGAAGGGCGGGCCTGGCGTTTCGCAGGGGACCTTCTTACCATCTCTGATCCGGAAGCTTGAGAAATTACAGCAATTTCATATATGGAGGGCGGGTCGGTTCCAAAGTGCGGTTCTCGCGCCAGCGCCGCGCACTTGTGTCTTAACCACTCGCAAAAGTTTTGCGAATTGCGGGCGGGTCGTTTTCAAAAGGTGGCCTTTGCCTCGGCGCCGCACGCATTCGTTTCAAACATCTGCAACCGTGTCATGGATTGAGGGCGGGCCGTTGTCAAAATGTGGTTCCCGCCTCAACGTGCGCCCGTCGCAACACATGCAAGAGTTTTGCGCACGGATGGAGGGCGCGCCGATGTCAAAATATGGTTCTCGCCTTAGCACCGCGCAAGATTTGTTAAAACACGTGCAAGCGTTTCGCGCTATGTTGTCCCCATCGTACTTCGGGACCACATCCCAGACATAATTTCGAGCGCCCAGGAAACTATCAAAACAGTATCGAGAGTATCGCTTCCCAAGGCCCGACACGCGAAAACCCTCCAGTTTCTGTATTTTCTTCGTGCCGGAAACTATTTCTGTTGGTCAAGGCTAGAATAAGTTGCAATGGTTAACGTACCAGCGGGTTACAATGGTTACCGTACCAGCGAAGGTGTTTTAGAGCGCGTCAGGATTGTTATTGGGGGAGCGGTTACGTTGATTCGCGGTGTTGAAGCCCCAAGAATGGTGTTTTGGCACGAATGGAGATCGTCAAAACGGAAAGAACGCGTTTCACAGGCGCTTGCCTTGGGAACAGTCGGCGGCGCGCTTCAAACCGCAAAACCAGGGGGACTCCCCTCCTCCCCAACCCTCCCCCTCCCGAATCCCACCCCCCCGCCCCTCCCCTCCCAGGGGGGGGGTTCAAATCCTGGAAGGGGGGCTTTCAAACCCCCCCCCACTCGGCGCCGGCGCCGGCGCCGGCGCTGGCGGCCGCCAGCAGCGCCCACGGCGGGGACGCAGCGACGATGACCAGAGACAGCTCAGGGGGAGGGGGGTTAAACACCACCCCCGTGGCGCCAGGGGGGGGGGGTTCAACCCCCCCCCTTGCGCCGGCGCTGGCGCTGGCGGGGACGCAGCGACGATCACCACCACTTCCACCACCACCACCACTACCACCACCACCACCGCCTCAACCCACCACCACCATCACCAACAGCACCACACAACCATCACCACCACCACCACAGCCACCACCACCACCACCACAACCACCACCACACCATCACCACCACCACCACCAAAAACCCACCACCACTACCACCACCACCACCACCACAATCTACCACACCACCACCACCACCGCCACAACCAATACCAGCAGCACGGCCCACCGCCACCACAACTAACCACCACACCACCACCACCGCCACCACCACCACCACCACAACAAGCGTGCACTAACCACCGCCACCACCACAACCCACCACCACCACCACAACCACCACCACACCACCACCAAAACCACCACCACCACACTCACCATCACACACCACCACCACCACAAACCACCACAACACCACCACCAAACCACCACCACCACCACAACCCACCACCACCACCACCACCACCACCACCACCACCACCACCAAACCACCACTATCACCACCACAAACCACGCCACACCACTACCAAACCACCACCACCACCACCACCCAACGCCACAAGCACCGTCACCACAACAAACCACCACACCACCACCACCCATCACCACCGCCCAACCACCACCACCACCACCACCACCACCACCACCACCACCACCACACCACCACCACCACCACCACCACCGGCGTCCTCGTCGACGCTCCCCTCCACCGCCGCCCGCCGCCGCAGGCGCCGGCCGGCGCTGGCCCAGAAATGGAAATCGTCGTCCCCGCCACCGTCGCCAGCCGCCGCCGTCGCAAGCCCGGCTCGAGGGGAGGGGAAGCAGAGAAGAAGGGGGGGGGAGGGGGGGGGGTTTGACCCCCTGAACCCTTCCATCCAGGGCCCCCCCCCCCCCTCCGTCCAGGGGGGGGTGGGGGGGCGGTTCCAAACCCCTCCCCCCTCCAAGCGACTACAGAACGCGCCCTTTCTCACTCAAAACGCAACAGTCAAGTCGATTCTCAATTCGACCCAGGCCCCCCCCTTCCCTGACGTGAGGGGGGGGGGCCCGAGTCAAATTACCACCCCCAAGGTCCCCACGCACCCACTTCCTCTCCGGGCACCCCCCGACAGGGGGGGCCGCCTTGTGGAGGGGGGGGTCCTGGGGGGTCGCCAGCGGGGGTCCGGGGGAGGTCACGCCTTCGATGACGGTGGTCCCGGGGCAGAATACCGCCCTCCCACGGAGTCCCCGCGGGTTCCCAGGGGGGGAGGGCGCCAGCGGGTGCCCCCGCCTTCAGGTTCGGCGGCACTGGCATCATAGATCAACCATGCATCTGGCCGATAAGGCAACAAACTACAAGGCCCCGCGACGTACAGGCAGCCTGGTCCCAAATACCTCAGGCGAGACACACTGCAGCAGCGTCTGTGCGCACTCGGTCAGCTTCCGAAGCGAGCTCTGCTGGAGTTGCTCTTTCATGCTCCACCCGCATCACCCCACCCCCAACCTACATCATCATTCAAGCCTGGGAGCCGGCGGCCATCCTCAGGGTGGAGGGGGAATCGTGGGCCAGGATGTCTGCAAGATGTCGTGCGCAGGTGGTGGGCCAGACTGGGGCCACCATGACCAGCTCTCCGCCGTCCCCGTGAGGTCAGCACGAACTCATCCCAAGGCTTGGTGAAACGCGGCATGGTAGAAACTCCATGCATCGTTCGTTGTACGAATGCGCTCGTCCACCCGCTTCCTCACCTATCCTTCCCACGCGAGCAGAGACAGCGACAAGGCCCGAGCAGGAGGTCGATTTTCTTCCTTCTGTAGAAGCCTTGTAGGTGGAGTCAGAGCTTATCGTCGTTCAATCTGTGCTCCGTCACAAACCACAGGCCTCACCCACAAAACCTGCGCACTAGATGTCCTAACCATCCTGTGGTGTTGGGTCCTCGTTTTGAAGAGACAGCGCCCCGCGTCACCTCCTCTTCCTCCTCCTCCCGCCACCCCCTTCCCCCCTCCTCCCCCTCCTTGCCCCAATTTGGCACACCCCTCACAGGGCCCCACAGGGAGCTCCACCGAAGGCCCCAGTGGCACAGGCCGCATGCGGCGACCACCACCCATTTTGGCACACCCCTCACACGGTTCGTGGCCCCACAAGGAGCTCCACCGAAGGCCCCAATGGCACGGACCGCATGCGGGGACCGCGCCCATTTTGGCACACCCCTCACACGGTTCGTGGCCCCACAAAGAGCTCCACCGAAGGTCCCAGTGGCCAGGCCGCACGCGGGGACCGCCACCCAATTTGGCACACCCCTCACAGGGCTCGTGGCCCCACAGGGAGCTCCACCGAAAGCCCCAGTGGCACAGGCCGCATGCGGCGACCACCACCCATTTTGGCACACCCCTCACACGGTTCGTGGCCCCACAAGGAGCTCCACCGAAGGCCCCAGTGGCACGGACCGCATGCGGGGACCGCGCCCATTTTGGCACACCCCTCACACGGTTCGTGGCCCCACAGGGAGCTCCACCGAAGGTCCCAGTGGCACAGGCCGCACGCGGGGACCGCCACCCACTTTGGCACACCCCTCACAGGGCTCGTGGCCCCACAGGGAGCTCCACCGAAAGCCCCAGTGGCACAGGCCGCATGCGGCGACCACCACCCATTTTGGCACACCCCTCACACGGTTCGTGGCCCCACAGTGAGCTCCACCGAAGGCCCCAGCGGCACAGGCCGCACGCGGGGACCGCGCCCATTTTGGCACACCCCTCACTCGGTTCGTGGCCCCACAAAGAGCTCCACCGAAGGCTCCGTTGGCACAGGCCGCACGCAGGGACCGCCACCCATTTTGGCACACCCCTCACACGCTTCGTGGCCCTACAGGGAGCTCCACCGAAGGCCCCAATGGCACAGGCCGCATGCGGGGACCGCCACCCATATCGGCACACCCCTCACTCGGTTCGTGGCCCCACAGGGAGCTCCACCGAAGACCCTAGTGGCACAATCCGCATGCGGGGACCGCCACCCATCTTGCGTCCTGCCTGGCGGCAGAGCGCCGCCGGGGAATTTATCCCCCCCAGCAGCGGCAATGCCCGCTGGGGGGGGGAAGCAGCGTCGAGCCTAGCGACAGGAGCGATAGCGACAGGAGGAGGAGGAGGAGGAGGAGGAGGAGGAGGAGGAGGAGGAGGAGGAGGAGGAGGAGGAGGAGGAGGAGGGAGGAGGGGAGAAGGAAGAGGAGGAGAGGAGAGGGGGATGGGGAGGGGGAGGAGGAGGGAGGAGGAGGAGGAGGAGAGAGGAGGGAGGAGGAGGAGGAGGAGGAGGGGAGGAGGAGGAGGAGGAGGAGGAGGAGGAGGAGGAGGAGGAGGAGGAGGAGGAAGAGGAGGAGGAGGAGGAGGAGGAGGAGGAGGAGGAGGAGGAGGAGGAGGAGGAGGAGGAGGGAGGAGGAGGAGGAGGAAGGAGGAGGAGGAGAGGAGGAGGAGGAGGAGGAGGCGGAGGAGGAGAGGAGGAGGAGGAGGAGGAGGGAAGGGGAGGGAGGAGGAGGAGGAGGAGGAGGAGGGGAGGAGGAGGAGGAGGAGGAGGAGGAGGAGGAGGAGGAGGAGTAGGAGGAGGAGGAGGAGGAGGAGAGAGGAGGAGGAGGAGGAGGAGGAGGAGGGAGGAGGGAGGAGGAGGAGGGAGGAGGGAGGGGGAGGAGAGAGGGAGAGGACGATGGGAAAGACCTCCGCCCGTTCCTTAGGCTTCCAGTCGCTTCGTCCCACGAGGCAGACAAGCACAGCGACAGCTGACGCTTCGGCTGCAGCTGGCTGGCTCACCCAGCGCCCGCCTCCGCGTCCTCCTCCGCTCCCCTGCCCTTTTCGTCACGATCCGTCCCACCCTCGGCCCTCCTGCCGTGCGGGGCAGCGCTGCGGAGGGGGGGGGGCTGGCACAGGGGGGACACGTCGACCTGGAGTCGGCGATGCATCGCAGGTGGATCGCCGCTTGGCCTCCCATAGCGTGTCCGCACGTTCATGGGCAGGTTGGAGTTGTCGGGCCCCTATCGGCGATCAATGAGCGATTGGGGGGTCGATGCACCCCCCCCTGTGCCTATCCTCCTCTGTCGTTGCCCCTGATGGTGCTCCCCATCGTGGCTCGGCGGCGAGCCCAAGGATAAGTCAGAGGGGCCGGGCCTTCTCAGAAGGCCAGTGTCAGGGCCTGCTGAGAAATGCTCTAAGCCTTCTCCGACGACGGAGACGGCTTCTCAGAAGGCATGAGGGCGTCTGAGAAGCCCCGCCGCCCCCTGAGAAGGTCCGCCGCCTCACTCCCCCCTGGGCTCGCCGCCGTGTGGCACCCAGTGCGGCAAGTCCTTCGACGCCGTGGCCATGGCCGTGGCCCAAATGCCATGAGCGATAGCGACAGGAGGAGGAGGAGGAGGAAGAGGAGGAGGAGGAGGAGGAGGAGCCTACCTGTTTTACTCGACGAAGGGGCCTGTGTGCTGGGAGAAGAGCAGGTGTACAATACAGCAAGACCGTCACGAAACCCCGTCAGGTCCATGCCCTCTCTCGGCGGCGCGTCTGGGGCACACTCAACAGCGCTGCTCGGTACGGCAGCCCGCAGTCGAGGTGACAGGCCGGGCGCGGAGGAGCACTCGATGCGCGAGCTCAGGGACTGACAGTGCCGCATCCTCTTCGTCTGCAGGGGAGAGGGGGGAGAGGGGGAGCCAGGAGGGAGAGGGAGCCAGGAGGAAGAGGGGGAGAGAGAGGGAGCCAGGAGGAAGGGAGCCAGGAGGGAGAGGGGGGAGAGAGAGGGAGCCAGGAGGAAGGGAGCCAGGAGGGAGAGGGGGGAGAGAGAGAGGGAGCCAGGAGGCAGAGGGCGGGGCGGTCCTTCGACGCCGTGGCCGTGGCCGTGGCCCTTGGTCTCCTGCAGCGTCTCGCGGGCGCTCATGGACGCCGCCTTGGCCATCGGGTGCTCCGAGAAGGCTGGCGGGCGCGGGAGGGGCCAGCGCGCGCGCGGGGGAGAGGAGGCGCCTCGCCGCGTCCTGCTGAGGGGGGGGATGCACGGTTTTCCCGCGGGGTCGTGGGCGGCCCGAGGAGGAGGAGGAGGAGGGGGAGGAGGAGGGATAAAGAGGAGGAGGAGGAGGAGGAGGAGGAGGAGGAGGAGGAAGGAGGGAGAAAGAGGAGGAGGAGGAGGAGGAGGGAGGAGGAGGAGGAGGAGGAGGAGGAGGAGGGGAGGAGGAAGGGTCGCCTGAGCCCCTCGGAGAAACCCTCCAGGGGAGGGGAGGGGCGATGACCATCTGCTGCACTCTGCACCATGCCGAGCGCACATGGCTTCCCGCACCGTCCTGGCCCACTGCCTCGCCGATCTCTGCAGCTCCTGGCCTGACCGATGCCACCCCTGCTTGCCGCTGGGCCGTGCCGTCGGCAAGCAGCACTGCCCCGTATCGCCTCCGCTGGGCTGCCCGCCCTGGCCCCGCGACCCCTCCCAACATGGGCAAGACCAGCAGGCATCGAAGCGGGAACTCGGACAGACTCGGACATCGCTGTGGGCCGCATCGGCGCGGAGCCGGATTGGAACCGCAGCTGCGCCGCGCCAGGCCGCACAACGACGCCATGCAAACATCGGCCCGAATAGGATCTGGGGATCGTCGGAGTGAATCGAATCGGATCGGGCCGGCCGGAATCGGTGTCGAATCGGATCGAAGTAGGCCCTGCACGGGGGCCTCTTGGGGGTTCCCTGGGGGCCCCTTGGGGGTCTCTTGGGGCTTCCTGGGGGGCTCTCGGGCGTCGTGGGAGCCTCTTGGTGGCCTCTGGGGGCATACTGGAGGCCTCTAGGGTCAGACCTCGAAATATCGGTTGGCGGTCCCCCTCTGGGCCCCTCTTGGGGAGCTCTTGGGGCACACTTGGTTGTCGCGGGAGCCTCCTGGGCCGTCCTGGGGCCCTCTTCGGGACCTCGTAGACCGTCTTGGAGCGATCTGAATGGCCTCCGAGGCCGTGAGGAAGCGCTGGGAAGCGGGGAAAGCGAGAACGCCAACAGCATTCGAAAACCATCGGACAATTTATCAATGTTGCATCCCAGGGCCCTCTTGGGGAGCCTCTTGAGTCCGTCCTGGAGCGTGTTGGAGTCCTCGTCGGCCGTTTTGAGGGCAGCTTGGGCGTTTTCGGGGCCTCTTGGGAGCGTCTTGGGCTCTCTCTCTCGGGACCCCCTTAGCCTGTCGTGGCCTGCTTCGTGGCAGGCCTGGGCCGCCTCGGGACCCCTCTGGGCGCCCTCTTGGGGCGCTCTTGGGGCACACTTGGGCTGTCTGGAGCGCCGCCTGGGCCGTCTTGGGGCCCTCTTCAGGGCCTCGTGGGCCGTCTTGGAGCAATATAAAGCATCTCCGAGGCCGTGAGGGAGCGCTGGGGTGCGGGAAAAGCGAAAACGCCCAAATCCTTCAAACACCATTGGACAATTTGCAAATCTTGCCTCACATTGCCCTCTTGGGGAGCCTCTTGAGTCCGTCCTGGAGCGTGTTGGAATCCTCGTCGGCCATCTGGAGGGCAACTTGAGCGTCTTCGGGGCCTCTTGGGAGCGGCTAGGGCCCTCTCGGTACTTCCTTAGCCTGTCGTGGCCTGTTCCAAAGCGGGCCAGGGCCGCCTCGGGACTCCTCTAAGCGCCCTCTTGGGGCGCTCTTTGGGCGCACGTGGGTTGTCAGGGGCGCCTCCTGGGTCGTCTTGGGGCCCTCTTCGGGGCCTCGTGGGCCGTCTTGGAGCCACCTGAAGGGTCTCCGAGGCCGTGAGGAAGCGCTGGAAAGCGGGAAAAGCGAGAACGCCAAGATCCTTCGCAAACCATCGGGACATTTGTGATTTTTGCCTCCCAAGGCCCTCTTGGGGAGCCTCTTGAATCCGTCCTGGAGCGTGTTGGAATCCGTGTCGGCCGTCTTGAGGGCACCTTGGGCGTCTTCGGGGCCTCTTGGGGCCTCAGGGGGTCCTCTTGGGGCGGGGGGCTCGCAATTCCAATTGAATTTCCTCAGCTCGGGCTCCTCTTGGGGCCATTTGGGAGGCCGTTCGCGCCGTCTCCGCTGCCTCTAGGACTGTCTTGGGACCCTTTTGGCCGTCTTGGCGCCCTCGGGGGGGTCTCCTGGGCCGTGTTGGGGCCATCGTAGGGGCCCCCGAGGCTGTCACGGACGGTACGATGACGAGAAACACGAGTGCGGTTAACATGTACGCTTTACCCAGGTAATGAGGCCATTTTTGCCTCTCGGGGCCCTCTGCGGTGTCATATTGCACAGGCTATGAGGCGCCTTGGAGGCCTCTTGTTGGCTGCTTAGGTGCCTCTTGGAGGTCTCGGGGGTTCTCTGGGAGCGTTGGGCTCGCAATTCAAATTGGATTGCCCCACCTTGGGCTCCTCTTGGAGCCCTCTGGGAGGGCATTGGGGCCGCCTTGGGTGCCCCTGGGGCCAGCCTGGGACCCTCGTGGGCCGTCTCGGCGCCCTCTGGGGAGCCTCTGAGGCCGTGCAGGGGCTACATTAGGCGCCCCTGAGGTCGTCAAGGGTGGTACGAAGACGAAAGGCACGAGTACGGTAAAATGTACGTTTTACGCGAGGAGTGGGGGCTATTTTCGTCTCGGCGCCCTCGTGGGGAGGAAATTACGCGGGTTATGAGGCGTCTTCGAAGCCTCTGGGGCCGTTGGAGACGTCCCGTGATCCGTCGAAACCGTCTTCCAGGTGGTTGGTGGCTGACTGGGGCCGCCGTGACGCTCATCGGGCCGCCCTCGGAGGCGATTTTGGGCTCCCCAGGGTCGGGCCAGGCCCCCGGGCCACACATTTGCAGTAGGAGTCGCGGCCCCCTGGCCCCCAGGCCCGCCCCCCCGTTCTATGTATACGTCTTTTCGCCATGTATCTCGTGTGCCTTGCCTGCAGTAGTGACACTGCCTGACACTCCACAACGCCACAACGCTGTACTCCAGATTTCGTAATAAAGGGAGGGGGGTCTCATTTCGTGGGGGGGTCTCTTCCAGGCTATCTTGGAGGGCCTGGGGGGTCTGGGGACGATGTTTTGGAGGGTTATCCCACGGGGGAGGTCTGAAATGGCTTGTCTTGGAGGGTCCAGACCCCCTCCCTTTTATTACGAAATCTGGAGTATCCAATCCGAACGCTGACAAACAAAGCGGACTGGAGCAGTCTCCAGATGTATGTCTGGGGCTACGCCAGGACGCAGGAGATTGCTCGGACGGATCCCAGCGACGCCGGAAGCCTCCTCGCGAGGCGCGGCGGATGAGGATGAGGAGGAGGAGGAGGAGGAGGAGGAGGAGGAGGAGGAGGAGGAGCAAACCCGTAAAACCACAGATCAGAACCACAAGCTCAGACGTGACATCAGGTCGGGCCTGTCCCCCTACATGGGGATTCTGGGCGAAGAATATCAAAAAGACTCAGCAGATGCTCCCAAATGGCCTCACACACTCAACAAATACCCCCACATGGTCAAACATGGGCGAAACATCGTCCCCCACTCTTTTTTTGACTCTTTTCGAAGATTCCTACTGTAGAGAGACGGGCCCGACCTAGACGTCACACGAAGCATCCATTTGGACGCCCGAAATGGGTACAGAAAGAATGGGCACAATGCCCAACAACAAACGCTGTCCCAAACCAACAGCGGCCGCTGTTGGGCAGGCGGCCTTCTGTCTCAAATGGGCACAGGCCGCGGCGGCGCGGACAGCGAGTCCTGTTCCAAATGAACAGGAACTGCTGTTGGGCATTGTACCCATTCTCTCCGTACCCATTTCGTTCGTGCTGATCTCAAGGAGCAGGAGGAGGAGGAGGAGGAGGAGGAGGAGCAGGAGCAGGAGGAGGAGGAGGAGGAGGAGGAGGAAGAGGAGGAGGCGGAGGAGGAGGAAGAGGAGGAGGAGGAGGAGGAGGAGGAGGAGGAGGAAGAGGAGGCGTCCAGCAGACCCTCGCGGGGGCCCGTACGGACTTTCCTGGACCGGCGCCGGGCCCTGCGGGCGGCGCCTCTCCCCCCGGGCGCGCCCTCGCGCGCCCCGGGCCCCGGGGGTGGGGGGGGCGGCCCAGGTCCGAGAGGTCCGCGCGGAGCTGCAAGAGTGGCTGTCCACGCGGGGGTTCCCCACCCGACAGGTCCAGGGGGGCAGACAGACATGCCTCGCTGTTGACTACCCTCGCTTCCAAGAGGCACCAGAGCGATGCCAGACTGCGGCCTGCACTGGCTGGGCCGCTTGGCGAGGGGGCGCGTGATCTGACTTGGCTTTGCCTGGAAGCGAAAGCGGGGTAATTAGGTGATTCACGCTCTGAAGGTTGGGGTTTGGACTCGCTCGTCGGTCGGACGAAGCAGGTAAAAACATGAAGCAGGAAGGCGAATCAATCAAGTCGGTTAGGGTTCAGGCCCTCCCAGAGGATCACAGAACACAGCAACAAAAAAAGCGTGTCGGCTCCTGAAGTAGGAAGGGCGCTTGAAGCAGACACAGACCTGGGGATCCAGAGAAACCTGCTCTCGACGACCCGCGTGCACGTCCGCGCAGTTGCTCCCCAGCCGACAAGCTAAAGTGCAGACTTACAGGGCAGAGCTCCTCCTCGTCCTCCTCCTCCTTGTCCTCCTCCTCCTCCTCCTCCTCCTCCTTGTCCTCCTCCTCCTCCTCCTCCTCCTCCTCCTCCTCCGCGTCCTGCCTCGCCCACCGCGTGCACATCTCGCGGCCGGCAAGCCCAGCGCGCGTGCCCGTGCTCCCCGGGCGTCGCGCCTCGGGCCTTCGACCGCAGCCGCCGCGCTGTCGGAAGGAACGCCGAGTACGGCGGAGGCCCGACCACGAGAAACCCCACCCTGAGACCCCTCCTCCTCCTCCTCCTCCTCCTGCTCCTCCTCCTCCTCCTCCTCCTCTTACTCCTCCTCCTCCTGGCTCCTCCTCCTCCTCCTCCTCCTCCTCCTCCTCCTCCCCATCGCCCTCCTACACGTCCTCCGACACAGCGGAGGCCAGTCCACAAGGAACCTTCCGCAAGA